TCCTGGTGTTGTGGATCTTCCTGGTGTTGTGGGTCCTCCTGGAGTTGTGTGTGATCCAGGCATGGCGGGTTGGGTGACCCAGGGTGTTCAGAGCGGGCACTTGGGCCAGGCCACCAGCTGCTCATTTGTATGTTTTATTTTGTTTTCCTAGTGACTACTTTCCTATTTAAACCTCAGACCCTCGCCCTCATCATGGCCAAAGCCCCCGCCTCTCCCAGGAGCCTCCGACATGTGTTGGAGGGACAACAGTAGCATTTACAAATATTGAGTCACTGGCCGTTCCTGTCCCCAGAGCCTCTGAGTATTAACTGGCAGTGGTAAAGACTTTTTCAGATGCTCTATTTAGGTTTTGACTGGCTGGCAGGTTGTTAAAGGTGTCATTGTGCAGAACTGAAACTCAACACCAGCCCTCTCTCTCTCTCTCTCCCTCTCTCGTTCATTTTCAAAATGGAGTTCTTATAGGCAAGTGAGGAATCCATGGGGCAGGGGAGACCCCTGTAAATTCTGCTCAGACGTGTTGTGCCGCTAACTAAAATATTTTCATTCCATCACAGCGAGGCTACTTAAATAAATGTAAACCTGGTTTCAATTATGTCATTACAGATTACATAGGAGTAGTTTGTCTGACTGGGGTGGATGTGTGGCCGTGTTAGAGAGATTTCCAGGTCAGTCTGGATGCCTGGGCTTGGCTGAAGAACGCTATTGATGGAAAGACACGTTGGGGTTCAAAGCATCTTAGGGAAACTTCTGATGATAACAGCTACTTGTAATCGCTATTTATAGGACATTTACTAACTGTAAGACCCAGAAATCATGATATTCCTCTTCCAATTCCTCCTTTTTTCCTCACTGCAGATGCCTCTACTCGTCTTTATCAAGGATGCCCTGCTCTGCCTCATTTCACATTATCAACCAGTCTCAGGGTGGGCAGGGCCGTGTGGGCAGCAGCTGAGAGGCGGGGGACAGCTTCTCCCCCCAGGCTCCTCCACCTGGCGACGGGAGTCATTTTACTCCTGCAGAGGCTGGGCTGCTGGCCCCGCCGTGCCCGTGGGCTGTGCCATCTGCAGTCCCTYCTCCCAGGAATCCTGTTGTGTAGATATGCAGAGCTCAGCGTGCACACGGCCTTGATGTGGGGCTGTAGGAGGGGAGAAGCAGTCTCAGGGGCCTGGGGAGCAGAAGCCAGAGCGCATCTGAGCTGCCATCGGAGCTGCCATCTGAGCGCTGACCTGGCAGGATTCCCCGTTGGATTTTTTTCATTTTCCTTACGTTATTGGTGCACC